AACATCAGAGACTACTGTGTTCAGTATGGATTGCATCTCAATGTAAAGAAAACAAAAATCCTCACCACTGGACTACTAAACAAAGAAAATATTGAAGTCATTTTGCTTGGATCCACTATCAGTACTCATGGAAGCAGCAGTGTATTAATCAAATAATGCATTGCATTAAGCAAATCTGCTGCATAAGACCTGTTTAAAATGTTCAAGAGAAAAGACATCAGTTTGAGAACTCAGGTGCACCTGGCCCAAACCATGGTTTTTTCAATAGCCTCATATGCACGTGAAAGTCGGACAATGAATAAAGAAAATCATAGAAGAATTGATGTATTTTAACTATTATGCAGGAAAAAAATAAGGCTTTCTACTCCTGCAAAGATTTACAGCCTCAGAAACCCTGTGCAGGGTCACTATGAGTGGGAACCGACTCCACGGTACTTAACAACAACAACTATTAGTGAAGATTATTGAAAGTACCATGAACTGCCAGAAGAGCAAACAAATCTGTCTTGGAAGAAGTACAACCAGAATGCTCCTTAGAAGTGAGGATGGTGAGACTTTGTTTCTCATACTTTGTACATGTTGTCAGAAGGGATCAGTCCCTGGAAAAGGATTTGATACTTGGTAAAATGGGGGGTGAGCAAAAAAAGAAGACAACTCCCAAATGAGATGGATTGACTTAGTGGCAGCAACAATGGGCTCAAACATAGCAATTGTGCGGAGGGCGTGGGACCAGGCAGTGTTTCGTTCTGTTGTGCATAGGGTCGCTGTGAGTCGGTACCAACTCGATGGTACCTAATAACAATGATGCTGAATAGCTTTCAGTGGAGCTTGCAGGCTAAGGCAGACTGGGAAGAGAGGCCTGCTGATCTACTTCTGAAAAGCAGCCCATGATGATCATATGGTCCAATCAACAACTAATCCTGGGCTGGTGCAAGGCCAAACAATGTTTGTTCCTTTGTGCAGGTGTTCACCATGATTGAGATAGTTGATAGGAAGTTAGCAGCAACATTTAGATTATAGGCTATCAGCTGTAACTTAGGTAAAATGTGTTTGGATTTCACAAATATTCATTTCTTATTTGTAACCAAAGTCAATAACTAAGGTTGTAAATGTCTCTCTTCAAAGCATGACACTTAACTTACATTTAGTTTACTAACAATTCGCTTTATGGGATACACTAAAGGCTATCATTAAAAAATGGAATATAATTTGGCCCACTGGAGGGCAGTAGTTTCTGGATGCTGTTAAAAGCGTCTAGTCCGTTCTGACTCATTAACAACCCAGTATAGGAATAGCTTGTGGGTTTGAACTGCCCACCTTTTGACTAGCAGTCCAGTGCTTATCCTACAGTGCCACACCAGGAGTCTGGTTTCTGGATACTAGCCAAGAATGTGTACAGGCAGTCCCCAGATTAAGAACCAGATCCATTACTAAGTGTGTGTTTAAGCTAAATGTGTGGATAAGTCAGAACAGGTGAATATGGGTCTTAATTAACTTTAGTGCAAAAAAAAAAGGGCCTTGGTGGTGCAGTGGGTTAAGCATTGAACAGGTAATCAAAAGGTGGTGATTCAAACTTACCATCCACTCCTTGGGAGAAAAATGAAGGAGTCCTGGTGTGGCTCTATGGGATAAAGCACTGGACTGCAAGGTCAGTTTGAACTGCAAGGCTGGTGGTTCAAACTCACTAACCACTCCTCAGAAACCCTATACAGGATCGCTGAGTCGGAACTGTCTCAGCGGCACTTAACATCAACAGGAGTGATCTGTGTGCAGAGTGTAACCTGGAGACTCCCCAGATAGTATGATTTTCTGTGTCAATGCCAATCACAGGGTTGATTTAAGAAGCAGCTGTTTAGTCTCAATAATAAGGAGACATGCTGGCAACCCAAAGAGTTAAAATGTGCAGCAGTTTTCCAGTCATTGCAGCTGTGTCTCATTTGGGTCTACAGTGGATGCCTTCCCTGTGAACAGCCAGCCACCTTTGTCCCCAGACCTGCTTTCAGCCTGCCAGGACTTTTTTTAGTGGGATCATTCAAATTCCTTAGATTAGGAGGTCATGGAATTACGTAACACTAAGATTATTCCTGGCACAGGAGCGCCTGGTCAGCCCCTCTCTCCTAGACTAGTTCTGTCTCCTGGTGTGTTCACGAGTTTTGTCCCAGGCGGCCCACGTGAGAAGGAATCGAGATAATGGCCAAAGCACACTTCTCTCAGGACCTGTGTAATGCCAACGTCTCTTTCTGAAAGTGGCTTCCTTCTTCTTCTGGTACAACAGTATTGCAACCATGTGAGATTCAACTGTCCCAGTATTAACGTAGATTGTCAAACCAACAAAACCAACCAAATAAGCCAACCACTGGCCTAGTCCCCTAATTTCTCCAAAATCACTACTATTTTTTATTTCCAAGGGTTAGCCAATTCTTCCATAGAATGTGATATATCAGACATTTCATGTTTGGAGTTTTTTTTTACTGTGTTGACATCCTTGGGTTTAAATTTGTTAGCAGCTGGATAAACTTTGGCTTCACTAATTTTGTGCTTACTCAGCATCCCCTCTGTGAGACTTTGCTCAGGTAGCTGTGTCCTGAGGGTGATTTCCCCCAGACTCTGCCTACCCAGCCTTCCATGTTGTTGTTGTTACGTGACATGGAGTTGGTTCTGACTTGTTACCCTGTAATAGGGTTTCCAAGGAGTGGCTGGTAGGTTTGAACTGCCAACCTTGTGGTTATTAGTCGACTGCTTATCCTACAGCACCACACCAGGACCTTCCATACTGGGAAACAAATATGGTTAAGCATCAGGTATACCATTTTTGTGTGTGTGTGTTAAGTGCCGTCGAGTCGGTTCCGACCCATAGCGACCCTGTACAGGGTTTCCGAGGGTGTAAATCTTTACGGGAGTAGAAAGCCTCATCTTTCTCCCGCAAGGAGCTCTGGTAGCTGTGAACCTTAAGGTCAGCAGTTCGAAACTGCCAGCTGCTCCGTGGGAGAAAGATGAGGCTTTCTACTCCTGTAAAGATTTACACCCTCGGAAATCCTGTACAGGGTCGCTATGGGTCGGAACCGACTCGACGGCACTTAACAACAATACCATTTTTAATTCCTGTTTAAAACCTTCTTTCAATGTAGTAGACAAAGCAAGACTTGTTTTGCTGTATTTTATTTGCATTTGAATGGGTTTACTATTTGCTACCTTATAGGAATTTACGATTATTGTGTCAGATTGAACATAGTTCACCCCTTAGAAGAGAGGATTATTGCTCAATAGGGTTTCCTAAACTACAATCTTTATGGGAGCAAATCACAGGTCTTTCTTTCCAATGTGCGTTCAAACCACCAAGCCTATAGTTTGCAGCTGAAAGCTTAATCTCTATGCCAACAGGGTTCTTCTAGCTTATAAATGACGGCAATATAGTCAACTCAATTCAACCAAGACTGACCAGGAATCTACTGTCTCCAGTTACCCTAAGGAGCTCAGCATGAACTCTACCCAGTGCCTGTGTGCAGAGCTCAATCTAGTCTATGCTTTTAAAAATCCTAGAGACCACATTCCGGCTCTTTCTCCCTGCACTTCATATTACATTGTTCTTTGATCTCATTTTCTTTTAAGGTAATAACACAAACACTTTTTCTTCCTCCTTCTCCACTTAAACCAAATTTAAATTTGCGGTAGACTGCTTATCTTCTACGGTCTTTGGGAGGGATGATACATTTCTTTCCATTGCCATGTGATTTGTGGTGTTGTTAGACAATGTAGCGTCAGGCATGGCCATGTGACTTGGTTGGGTCAGTGAACTGAAGTGACAAAGGGACCAGTATGGAGAGAAACTTTAAGATGTGGCTTAAAGCACCTAGAAATGGCTGCCTGCTGATTGATGTGTTTGGCTTTTTTCTCTGCCATAATCCTAATAGGTGCTACTCCTTCTCAGCATAATTAATTTCTAGAATGAGAAGACATTGAGAAGCACTGCAGTCAACCTGCAGCCACAAAAATGTAATGTTATTTGGAAATAAAGATACGTTGTTATAAGCCACTGAGATTTTTAGGGTCATTTGTTCCTGCAGCAGCATTGACTAATTCAAAGATCAAATAATAAATAACAACAGGATAAACACAGAAGTCATAATTCCCAGTCACCTTTATTTATACAAAAGTATATTAAATAAATTATCTCAATATATACAAATAGAACAATATTACCTACATAAATAGAAAATCCTCATTTACAAAACCTTTAAAAAAATTATATAATATATACAATGTTAACCATAGAAGCTCTAAGTACCTTAAATCATAAACTCAGTGTAGTTCATTTATAGTCTTATAAAAATATAGTTAGCTGTCAAGTGCTCAATCCACAGCATTAATCAGTTAAAGTGCTAAAACTGTAACACATATTAGAGGTGCCCAAAATAAAGTTTTCTGCATTTAACACATTCATATAAAAGTTTGTCAGTTGCTCTGAAACATAAAAAACACTCCCCCAAACAAAACAAAACAAAACAAAACAAACCCCAAACCTAAACACCATATTATAAGACAGCAGGCATAGGGTAGAAAAATCCTAGAAAAGTCCCCTGTTCCGTTTCTCTTCCTTACATGGTTTGGTGTTAGCCACTCCCAAGTTCTCCAGAAGTTCAGGCAGAAGTTTTTAAGGCATTTGTTCTCTTTGTTTGTGTGGACAATCTGGTTTCACCTTGAGTATAGAACATACAATCTAAAGCATGATACGTACAAAAGGTGCTGTAGTGTTAAAATAAAAAAAGTAAAAACCTGGAGTTGGTTGTACCATTCATTATGTTCCACAGTAGCTAATGCTAATACAAACACCAGAATGCTAATTGTGATAGCAGGTCAGATAAAGAGCTTTCTTTGAACCCAAAGGGTCTCCATGCTCCAAAGTACTGATTTGAGTTTCCATATAGTCTGTTCTTATAAAAGTTCCTGGCCACAGTGCAACACAAAACTTGCAGGAGTTGGCAGTTTCAACGGTGCTTCCTTTATGCAACGTTAAGAGGGGAGTTCTCCTTTCCACTTTGAGGTGCGCTTGCCTTCCTGCATTTGTATAGAGAGATCAACAGGACTATGATGATGACGATGACCACTAACACCACTGCTCCAATGATGATGGACAATTCTGAAAAACAAATGGCACAGAGTCAGTTTAGAGGGAGTGCTCCAAGCCCAGTTAGCAGTGGACACAACCAAAGACATAAACCCAAGTTACTCAATCTGCTTTTGTGTAATTTGAAATTTCTTTCCTCCAAGCTTTCTACCACACTTGGATTAGGAAAGACTTTGTCAAACCCTAGTTGTTTTAGGACAATGTTTCAATGGCTAAAAGCATTTAAAGGACAACTTAATAAACTAGAAAATGTTCAGAGTCTAGAAAAGATACACATAGTCGAAAGCATGAATAGCTTTTGGAAGCAAGTGATTAACAATGATAATGAGTTTGGCAGCCATGATTACAGCAGAATTAAAAGTGAAGATGGAGGCACAAGTGGCTCCCAGGATTCACACAGAGACGAGATGATTGTGGCAATAAGAAGGCTTTGGGATGGTGGGGGTAGTCCTGGGTGGTGCAAATGGTTAATGTGTGCAACTGCCATACCAAAAGGTTGGAGGATTGAGTCCACTTAGCGGTGCCTTAGAAGACCTGGTGATCTACTTCCAAAAAAATCAGCCACTGAAAACTGAATGGAGCCTCAATGACTCAGTGACAACTAGTGGCTATGGCGGTGTGAAGATGTCAGGGGCATTTGAAATAGCTCTCGAGGGCACATTTCTGCAGACAGAGAAGATGCAGGGAAAACAGAGATCTGGGTGTGCACTAAGGCAGAGGCAGCAGGACTGGAGGTAGGCTTTAGAAAGATTAATCTGAAGGTGGTGGGTAGGAGCCTGGAGGGGTGCAAAACCAGAGGGAAAAAGTGCCCTAACCTCTGTAATGTCAAGAAATAGGAGATAACTGTTTCTTTAAAGTATTTTAAAAATTTTAAGTCTCATTTTAGCAATGAGTTAAGCTATCTTCACTCTCTTTCTTCCCTTGAAATACTCAGAGCACCTCCCATATTGGTAGGGTGACTTGGAGGCTCTCAGCCTCAGGATCAGTCTCAATGCCCACTTGACTCCAGTGTGTGTGCATATCTGTACACGCCCATGTGCGCACACACGCACATGGGTATATTTCATACAGTCTCTTCCATTGAGGGCTTACACTTTATGCCCCATATACCCTCTGTATATCCTCCCTGATGAAGCACGGGCTAAACCTTCCACTGCTAACTAAAAGGTGGGTGGTTCAAACCCAGCAGCCACTCCATGGGAAAAAAACCTTGGCAATCTGCTCCCATTAAGATCTCAGCCTAGAAATCCTTATGGGGCAGTTCTACTCTGTCCTACTGGATCATTATGAGTTGGAATTGACCCAACAACTCACAACAATACCCTTCATGGATGATTACCAGTATCTAATTCGGTGCTATTGCTGCTGATCCAGAGGCACCCACCCAAGATCCACATGTAAGCATGAAAAGTTCAGAGTAATCTGTGATTTGATGCTAAATCCTAAGGACATACTAAATGTCCTTTGCATATTGTCGATGTTCAAGAAAACACTTGTGGATACAAAGGAATAACACTGAAATATTTCTACATGCTTAAAATAATTTTTTAAAAAGAGACTAAGAGCTATTATTCCTTGTTGTTGTTATGTGCTGTGGAGTCGGGTCCGACTCATAGCAACCCTGTACAGGGTTTCCCGAGGCTGTAAATCTTTACGGGAGCAGAAAGCCTCATCTTTCTCCCGTGGAGTGGCTGGTAGTTTCGAACTGCTGACCTTGCGGTTCACAGCCCGATTCGTAACCACTACGCTACCAGAGCTCCTTATTCCTTAAATACCCTGAACACTTTACAAAACAAGTATCACACTGGCTCTGGAAAATACTCTGTGAGCATCCACACACCTCTGAAAATGCCCCTTCCTTGGCTGGAGCACTCCACGAGGCTTTCTGGACTCTTCTGATTTGCTTTTCGGGATGGAATCACCGCCTGGACATTGAAGCAGTAGTCTTCTCCTTTATCCACATCAAGCAAAAACTCATTTGTGTTTGTCTTGGCTGTTTTCTGTTAAAAGATAAAGAGTTCTTAATTCCCCTGGGCCCAGAAAGCGCCCTTTTCCCTTCATTGAGACACTGAGGAAGTAAAAGCCTAGATTCCAGTCAGGGCGACAGACACAAGCCAGACGTGTGAGAATTAGAAGGGACTTGGTTAATCAGTTCCCTTGATCACTGATAAGGATGCCTTTTCTAAGATTAAAGACATCCAAGTTAGGCGCATCCAACCCAATGTAACTCTTTAAAAGATCTTCATAGTAAAAGAGAAAAGTTGAATTGAAGACACATTTTATCTGTAATCCTCAGTAAAGGGAGGAATCAAGAAATATGAAGACCTTAAGGAGCTCTGGTGAGACAATGGTTAAATGCTCATCTGTTAACTGTAAGGTTAGACGTTCAAACTCACCAGCAGCTCTGTGGGAAAAAGACCTGGCAATCTACTTTGGTAGATTACAGTCTAGAAAACCCTATGGGGCAGTTCTACTCTGTTAACTGGAGCCCTGGTGTGGCTGTAGAGTAAACACTAGACTATTAACTGCAAGGTTGGTGGTTCAAACCCATCAGCTGCTATAGGAAAGCCTATACTGGATTGCAGTGAGTCAGAATCACGTGATGGCACTTAACATGAGTCAGAATCAAGTCAATAGCACCTAACAAAAATACAATTTAGTAATACTCTGGCCTAGCCCTTGGCGGAGGAACCTGAGACACTGAGGAAGCCTGCCCCAAAGCCCTAAGAGCCACAGGGCAGATCAGTCACAGGTAGAACTAAGACTTGTTCCATGGCTCTCCACCCAACAAGTAGCAGACAGTGCTTTCAGTCCACCACACTGCCCTCTCAGTCAGTCCTCCCACACCCCGGGTGGCTGTTTTTGAACTGGGAAAGGAGGGAGGAAGAGGGGATAAAAAAAAAAAAAAAAATCAAGAATCTATAATTTAAAACAAGTCACAAACACAAATGAAAAATCCTCACCTTTCCTGTACTTGAAGCTTTCCAATAATAAATAGTATAATTTAAATCCTGGCCGAAAACATCCCGGATGCTCAAGAATGTGCCATTCATTCTGACTAAGGTCCGTGCATCTTGTACTGTCACATTCAGTTTTGTCCCAACTTGTTCAAAACTCTGAATTGTTGGCTGGCCGAGATTTGCTGAAACACAGAAAATGTGTCTGGTTGGAATCAAAGAATTATAACAAAATCCCAGTTGTTTTAGAGAATAACAACTTAGTCTTCCTTCATAAAGCACCTGCAAAGAACTCAACTCCCTGGTTGATAGCAGCACTGTCCAATGGAAACAGTGCTGCAAATGTGATGCTAACTTCCTAGTAGAGAAACGATATTTGAAAAAAACGTAAAAAAAGTAAAATTAATTTTAATATCTTATTTAACCAGATACATCTAAAATATTAACAATTAACATAAAAAAATTTTTTTAGACTTTACACTTTTGGGAACTCAGTTATGCATTTTACATTTATATTAGCCATATTTCAAGTAGACAGCAGCCATTTGCTATACTGAACAGAGTATAAGATTCCATGTTTTAGATACAATAAAATAGGGGTTATGGGAAAGCCTATGCGATGTCTTTGGTACCTCATTTAACTTGTTTTAACCACTGGATCATGTGCTTTGGTTAAATAAAAGTAAAATAAATCTTAGTTATTTAACACCAATTATATATACTAGCCACAGGACAAAGTACGTGTTGTGTATTAAGTGTTGGATTGCCCCATAATCAAGGTAAGCATGGGCTTCCAGGAATGGTGGGCATCTGTCTGTCTCCCAACCCCACAGCACCTTCCTACAGAATCAAAGTCTCTTTTCATATTTACAATCCCAGACAAGAATAAAAACCCAGTAAGCACTGTGCTTACTTACTAATCTACAGTGAGCAGTTTCACATGTTTTTTTACCACATCTTTGATATGGTGAAACCCATGTAAAATTGTTCACTATGGATTAGAGTAAGGGAGCGTGGTGTCTCCATATGCTAAGCACTGGACTGCAAACTACAGGGTCCATGGTTTGAGCCCGCCAGCCACTCCTCAGGGGAAAGATGAGGCTTTCTGCTCTCGGAATCCCATACAGGGTCACTATGAGTCAGAACGGACTCGGAGGCACTGAACAATGTAGATTAGTAAGTAAGCCCGTGCTAACCTTGCTTATTCCTGTGTGTGTGCATGCACACACACACACATAAACACACACAAGATGAACAGATACAAAATTTTCTACTTTATACTATTCTGTTGATATATTCTCTTTCACAAAAAGGGAAATGACCTACAAAAACTCAAGTAGTAAGAGGAAACGGTGAGAGGTCACTGGAGGGAGAACCGATATAATCTTGCAGTTGCTGGAGATTACCACCCACGTGGTCTCTCACCATGGAGAAGATACCAGAGGAGTCTGAAGAGAGGGTCTTCCAGAGAGGGCAGCCCACTCACCTGCTCCTTATTTTGACCCTCACAATAAATAACAATGGTCTTTCTACCCCTTCTCTTCACTTTCTCCACCTCCAGAACTTATTCTCTCTTATGGGGTGGTGGTGGTGGTATCTATGTGCCGTGGAGTTGATTCTGACTCACAGCGACCCTGTACATGGTCTCGAGGTTGTAAATCTTTACAGGAGCAGAAAACCTCATCTTTCTCCCATGGAACGGCTGGTAGTTTCGAACTGCCGACCTTGAGGTTAGCAGCTCGACTCGTAACCACTATGCTATCAAAGCTCCTTCTCTTATGGGATGGTCAGGAGCAAATACAGAAACACCAATAGTACATCACTTTTATTCTAATCAAGGCTTGAAAAGAGAAGCCAACTTTACTCTTCTCAATGTGCTACATGAATGTGGTTCTGTAGGTTAAGCACTGGACCACTAACCTCAAGGTCCACAGTTCAAACCTACCATCTGCTACTTGGAAACCCAGTGAGTTAGAACCACTCGACAGCACTTAACAATAGTCCAGAACGAACTATAGATGTACACAAAAATTTTTAAGCTCCCACTTGGAAGGAACTTTCTGCAATCTCTTGTAAGAGCAAAAAGTCAGTTTACTGGGGGGTAAAGGTTGTGAAAGAAAATATTGCACATCTGAAAATAAAACCCAGCATGTAGGAGGTCGGCTGAGAGCTATTGGCAAGTGCTGGCACATCCCAGAACATAATTATGGTTGATGGATTGAGCACAGGCAAGCAATCCTGACTAGGGCATTAGAGGGAAACTGTGTGGACTTTCTCTATACTTATAAACCTGAAACTTGGACTCCTGGTCTGAAGATGGGACAGATAATTTAGGAGTCCTGGTGTGGTGCTGATGGATAAATCACTGGACTGCAAGGTCAGTGGTTCAAACTCACCAGTTGCTCCTTGGAAACCCTATTACAGGGCAGTGGAGTCAAAACTAACTCAACAGCATGTAACAACAACAACAATAACATGATACATATATAGGGGGTCAAGCTGCAACCCCAGCCTTCATGGATTTCTTACTCCCCAAATATCCAGCATTCACAGCTGGTAGAGTCTGGGGCTAGTCCAGTGAAGACAGCTACTTGATGGCACTATGATCAACTCTGAAATTCATGTCCCTTGTAATTCCTACCACATCCAGGACAAGTGAAGAACTTCTGAGAAAGAAAATGTGTTCATGTGTAAATATTTTTGAATCTAATGATATCACAAGCTCACATGAATACTGTTTCTAACAGCAAGAAAGGAGCTCTGGTGGTGGGTGCGGTAGTTAGGTGCTTAGGTGCTAACTGAAAGGTCGAAACCCACCAGGAGCTCTTCAGGAGGACGTTGTGACAGGCGGTCTGCTTCAGTAAAGATGACAGCCTGGAAAATCTCATAGGGGAGGTCTACTCTGCCCTGGAGAGTCACTCAAAGGCAGAAGCAACTCCTCAGTAATGGCTTTAACAACAAAAACTAACAGTTAGTACAGATAGAGTCATTTTTCTTCCTACTTACTGTCTAAGTAGGGGGTGAACTCTGGGGAGTTTGTAAAAGGAGGTTCCACATCAGAACTGACAGTATGCACGTTCCCTGCAGGGTAGGAGAGAACTCGTGCTGTGTACGTCTGCTTAACATCCTTCACAATCTCATCGGTGAGGTCGCACTCAGTGTCAGTTGTTTGAAAGCATTTGCTTTTCCAATCTCCTAATCTAGTGCTAAAGAAAGAAAGAGATAAAGAGAAATGGAACATTAGGATTTACATTCAACACCACACTTGGTTTCTGGTTGCGGCGTTCTATGGTAACATTAACAGCGACCACAACTCATCCTGAAGAAGCATTGTAGATACTGTTTAAATCTTCACAGCAACTGGGGTGTGGCTTTGTAAACATCCCTGTTTTTACAAGTAAGGCAACTAAGGCAAGGTGAGATTAGGTAACTGGCTCTAAAGCACATAGCTAGACTTCTCATTAAGCAACAGTTTAACTCTTGGGTTTGGCTCTTACCCATTGTGTTATAGTAACTCTTAATGTGTAGAAGGGTTGTCACAATGACATGGGAGAAAGCAATTTTCCATCAAGATTCAACTGTTAATTACAGTCTACTTATTAAATTAGATCACAGTTGCTATTGTATGCTGTTGTTCAGTGATGCTGAGTCAGTTCCGGCTCATAGCAACCTTCTATGTTGTTGTTGTTAAGTGCCGTGGCGTCAGTTCCGACTCATAGTGACCCTGTACAGGGTTTCTGAGGCCGTAAATCTTTACGGGAGCAGAAAGCCTCATCTTTCTCTTGCAAAACAGCTGGTAGTTTCGAACTGCTGACCTTAAGGTTTGCAGTCTGATTCATAACCTTCTATAGGGTTTCTGAAAAGTGGCTGGTGGGTTTGAATCACCAACCGTATGGTTAGCAGTCCAGTGCTTATTCTACAGCGCCACAACAGGACGCCATAGCAACAATATGATAGAGTAAAATGACCCCATAAAGTTTCCAAGAAGCAGATTGCCACGTCTTTCTTCCATGGAACATTCAAATCACTGACTTTTCCGTTAGCAGCAAAGAGTTCAACCATGGTGCCACCAAACCCAAATCTACTGCCATCAAGTAGATTTCAATTCATAGCAACACTATATAGGGTTTTCAAGACTACATTATCTTAGTAGCCTAGCACCTAACCCACAGCGCCACCAGGGTTTCTTATATAATTGTTGTTAAGTGCTGATGAGTCATAGTAACCTTATATAGGGTTTCCAAGAAGCGGCTGGTGAATTTAAACTACTGACCTTTCGGTTATCAGGCCAGTGGTTGGCCTACAGTGCCACACCAGGATTCCTCTTATACCACAGTACACTCTTATTTATTACATTTTTTTAATCACCACTATTTGTGTATTATGATTCATTATCGTTTATTGACTCTACTCACTGGACAGAGATCTTTCCACAAGCTACTTCATTTGATATGATCCTTCTAAGAAGGTACTGGATCTTTTCTACAGATGGAAATACTAGCGCTCAGAGACACTAGGTAACTCATATAAGGGCAGAGGGGTAATGAGTGTTAGAGCTGGGTCTGTCCACCTTCTATGCTACATGTCTCTCTCATGTTTACAAGATGTGGAGACTTCTTATCCAAGATTTCAGAATAAAAATACAGGTATTACCTGTCTAATAAAGCCTGAGACTAAGAGGTTGAAAGACAAATCTTTCTTTCATAAGACATCATTGAAGAGGAAAGGATTTAAAGCACTCCAACTAGAAATGAAATTCTTGTAACGTTCCAAAGCAATCGTGGAAAAGCATGTGACGTGACAGCTACGGGGGTTCTTCCCTACAACATCACCTACTGCCAGGTTCCCATCCCATACTCCCCAGGAACCTCCCAGATCTCTTTCTCAGATTCATTTCTCCCTCCCTATTCCCAGAACCTGTCTCTCCATAAAGCACTTAATGTGAACATGGTCTGCTTTCTGTTTTGCCAGGTGGCCATGTAACCCGAGTCCCTGGTTAAACCGCAGGGCTTTGCATATAACCTCGTCCTGCTAAGTAGCAAACAATCTGAACTTACAGGTTGAATTAATTATTGAGAGGTGGGAGGCAAGCCACTACATTGATTAAATTGTCTAAATTCATTCATATGAGCCATAAGTATGTCTCGTTTTGTTTTGAAATCTGAATTAAATAACTGGAGTAGAAAGGTTTGGGTAAACCCACTCTTTGACCTCAAATTTACAAACTAAGCTTGATACAGAAACATTGTATTATTCTTACATTTCTATGTGGCAAAAGAAGACCAACATGCTTTTTTTTTCTTATGTAACTTCTATTTCATAAGGAGAATGAGTACATGATGATTCTTCGCCGTCACTACGGCAAGTAGCTCAGATAATAGGAGAAAGATTGGCTCTGGGGCTATATTCCATCTGAGACAGAGGCTAGTTGATGGTTCCGAGCTTACACACAGGGATCACACACTCTGTGGCATTATTCAACATAAGGATTTAGAAATAAAAAGAGAAGAGTCTCACCCGAGTTACTAAAAAATTCCAACAGAACACAGAACGTCATCAACTAAGGAGCAGCTTATTTTCCAGAAGTTTTATCAATTCAATTTTGGAGCTCAGAATACTCCCAGTATTACATATATAGGTGATAGTTCAGTGCTAAGACCAGAGTCAATAACAATTTCCAACCACCATTTAAAACTGGTTTCAAGGGGGAGAAATGTAGTTGGAAGTCCAGGCTAGCAGTGGCATCCTGAGCCTGGGGACGTGTTCAGCAGTAGAGCAAGTGGATGGACAAGAGACACAGGGAGGAAAAGGTTCTTCCTCCCAGGCACTGGGGCCTCACTGCCAGACTGAGGCAGACCCCACTGGAGAAGGTGTGTGGGGTACTGTAGTTGCAGACCTGGTGGGGGTACTCACCAACAGTACAGGCATGAATACATACCTTACACTCCCAGGACAACAGTTTCCTCAAGTCTAAAATGCATGCTATGCTTCTTTTAATCAAGGAGTATTATTTATCTGTGGAGAGGGTGTTGGGCAGAATGTGATGGATAGGTTGCTCACAAGACGGCTGGCCTCGGGCAGAGGGAGGGAGACTGTCCTGGTAGGCAGGGCAGGAGCTCTCTGAGAGGATGTTCACAGATCAGGGGCTGTGATCATTTCAACAAATGCAGCTTTATCAAATTTAACAACTTACTTGTCAAAGACGTAAGTTACAAAACCCAGCTCGGTCATAAGTATATTTCACATGCTCACCAAACTAAAGTCTGAAAGTATTGAGGAGACAAGCATTCGTCTTAAAATTTTATTTTCACTATTATTTTGTGATATCCAGAAGTTAAGTGTTTATGGTAAAATTCAGCTCCATATTAGAGGAATTAATGGTCAATGCAGTCTGACAGGTTAAATTTGGCCATTATCAAAAGGTTATGAAACTACTCTATCTTTATCTATCTATCTATCTATCCACTTAGACAGACACACACATACACATTCTCTTCTTCCCTATCGCTTTGGCAATAGTTATCCTAAAGTTCATTTTGGAGACAAGAACATCTACCTAAAAGGAACCACCCTATACTTAGAAGTTGCATTCTAAATGCTACAAAAGATTTGATATGAGATAAAAACAAAGATAAAACTGAATTTTTAAGAAGTCAGAAAAACCCTTTAATTTTAGCCAATGATACTTTTGTGCCTCCCTACAATTACTGTTAAAAACATTTTTATAGCTGCTGTTAATAAAATAATAATTTAATAAAATCTTTACCAAGACTCCTAAAATATTTCAGAAATGAAACTCTTGCCAAGAACATGAAGCAAACCACGATATGCTATCCACTGCTAATGCTGAGACAGACTGTGTTGAGTGGTGTGGTGGTTAAAGCACTTGGCTATTAACCAAAAGGTCGGCAGTTTGAACCCATCAGCCCTCTAAGAGAGAACGATGAGGTTGTTTGTTCTTGTAAAAAAGATTCAGTCTCAGAAACCCTAGGGAGCAACTCTACTCTGTCCTACGGAATCCACTTTATGGTAGTAGGGAGGTACTGGGTGCTGTCAATCAGACATGGAGATGCAATGGGCAGAGCAGCTGTGACAACTGAGGGTGCAGAGAGAGGAGCTCTTCCTTGATGCATGGTGAGTCACTAATTTGGGCTCCGCAGAAAGCATGCATGCAACTCAATTTTGATTCACAGAATCCAAAGATTAATGAATCAAACACTGCTTGAGGGCAATGTATACATCTAAATTCTTTCCAACCTCTTGCTTAATGCAAATCACAGTCTAGACAGTTAGCAAAAGAAAAGGCATCTGTGTTTAGATGAAGTTAGTGCTCCTTAATCCAGAAACACATGAATCCGTGCCTCCACCACCCTCTCAAAAGGTTTGTCCCACCAACGGTTTCTACTCCATTTGGGAATTTTCCCATCATTTCCAAAAACAATGAAAACTTCTGATCAATTTAAGGTCTGGGAATTTCAGTCTTGATGAAATACTGACTGGCCAGCAAATTACCACACATGGTCCCCTCTTCTTTGTCTTATGGTAAATAATCTCATCAATTGATCAACTTTAAAGACATGTGTACTCAGAACAGGAAAGTAGAAACAACAAAACACCTTCATTTCTTTTTCCTTTTTTGCGGGGGAGATATCTGGTGTGCTGCTGTAGACTGAGCACTCAACTGCAAGGTTGCTTTGAAACACAAGGGCAGTGTTTAAACTCCTCGGAAACTCTACACAGCCACTCCTCGGAAACTCTACACAGGGTCCCTAGGAGTCCTAACCAACTCAATGGCACACAGCGGTGGCATCTTACCTTATCTGAACGGTGTAAACATGATTGACAGGTTTGGGTTCCCACTCCAGAATTGTCTTGAAATTTGTTGATTTCCAAGCTAAATTATATGCTGTCACTATATTGGAAGCACCTTTAAACAAGACAGAGATACCTATTATTATATGCACTTCTCAGCATGCTTCAAATACCTTCCCACCCTTCTGTTACATAAATTCCAGTTTTTCGGGGTTTGTTTCTCAACCACAAAAGATTTATTACTGAATTATCAAGAAAAGGGCCTTCAAGAATTTTCTAGGCCCCAAAATTATCTCACTGCAAGATTTACCCTGTAATCCATGGAAACTGGCAAAGATCTTGAAACCCTTGTTTGAAATTATTCATAGGGAAAAGTCTTGTAATAATTTGATTTGGAAACAGCTCAGGAACCACCAAGGTTCCAGAGTGCCCATGACCTAGTTCAGGAAGGACATGACTATAAAGCACAAACCAGTGTGGGCCAGAACCTTTAGGACCGGGTTTTCAACAAGTTATAGAGAGTGACAAATCCTACATAGCCAAAAGAATTAGAACTGCATACAACTAACAAGTATACTCATGACTTTCTCCACTTTTCCAAAATTTCTCTACACTGAAGCGTCTACAAAGAGGGGTGACCTGTGGCCTGTCACACCATCGGAAAGCACTTATGCTTTATGTTTACGGTCAGTTTTCCCAGTCTCCCACATCGAACAGGATTATAGGGCACGCAGTTGTCCAAGTAACATTTCGTAACACTGAGGTCCGCTCTTTACAGGAGAGATGAACAAGTATGGAAAGATAACCTCCAAACCACTGGCCCACATGGGATTTTGCGCAAATGTGACCCCATGGTCCTTACCTTCAAATAAGTGTATCAAGGTCTTTGCAAGTTTCCAAGAATTATATGGTAATTCCAAGAATTATATTCAAGATCTCTTGAACCATGAGATAATTATGGTTCAAGAAAATTCCAGAGGACTTTTTTTTTTTATAATTCAGTAGTAAAGCTTTTGTGGTTGAGAAACCTCCAAAAACTTCTCAATCTTAAAGCGGGAGTCAACCACGCACTTAAAGGAACACAATGGACTCCTGGAAAAAGGAGCTCCAGCAGTAAAAGGCAGCGGGGCCTGAGGTTCATTCTAACCCGCCTGGGTGAGCATGGCCGAGTTCCTTGAGAGCCGGAGGTACCTCGTAGCGCTCCAGGTAAATCGGGCGTTCCTGTCGCCACCTCAGGGAAGGCGTCCCCGCCGGCTGCGGAGGTCGGGTGCCACTCACCTGCAGCGCCGGCCACTTGGGCAAAGACCCAACTGAGCACGAGTGTCTGAGCAACAGCGGCCTCGGGGCGCGGGGCGCGGGGTACCATCTCCACGAGGGGGCGGCGAGGTCCGGAGGATTCGGTTGCGCCCGGAGGCTGGAGAAGTTGGGCTGGAAGGAGCTCGTGGGGACGCGGGGATCCCAGAATCTGATGGGAGTCTGTGCTCGGCGCGCTATAAATCCTGCGGGGGCGTTCGCGCTCGGCCGGCTCTCGGCTCTCGGCTCCCGCCCCCCGCCGCTCCTCCTGACTCCCCGCCCCCGGCCCGGCTAGCCGCCGTCACCGTGGGCGGCCCCCTGCAAATCCACACCCCTGCCCCACCTCCTCCCGATCGGAAACTGCGGGACCCTGCTAGGGGTGACTCACCGGTGATTCAACCCCATCGCGGAGCGCAAAGCTGCCCGACGGCCACCGACGGCTCCAGGTGCTTCGTTAGCCGAGGCCCCGACGCCCCCAGAACCCCGTCAGTGTTTCGCCTCACCCCTGCGAATCCGGAGTGTCCAGCCTGGGCGAATAACGAGTCTGAGGGGAAGAAAGAGGAGGGCCGAGATGGAAGGATTCATTGAGTGGGAGGAAGTGAATTTTCATTTGGAGATGGTGTTTTCCGGACCCCGAGGGAGCTGCAGCTTTTACAAAGCGCAATTGAAAGAACCGACTCCCGGCACCTCTAGGGCACTTCCCAGGCTCCGGGCTCTTTGCTCTTGAGGCGCTGAGACGCAGAGATCTGCGGAGGGTAGGGGAGCAAGGCCTTCGCCGTGCTGCGGTTTGATCTTCAATGTTCAGGGGCACTGATACCCGGCTTTCCCACCTCACAAGGCGCTTAGCTTGGGTCTGATGGGGGTAAATGCAGGTGTCTGCCCTGGGTTAAGAGCACCCCATGGCTCCACAGGTCCGAATGATCAGCCCAAGTGACCCAAAGTTGGCGATTTGCTGAGGGAGAATTCCAGGGTGACTTAAGTAGCCTGGGGTTCCAGAATGAAACTGTTCTCACATTGAAAAAGCCGTTTGCCGCTACTTTAGTCCCGCCCATGTGTAGAGAAACCAAAAATGAAAAAGAAGAAAAAATCAGATTTCCGTGCCAGTAGATTTAAGTTTTAGTTTTTAATTATTTTTTTGACTTCCCCTTCTGGCCTTTTCAATAAAATTATCAGGCAGTTAATGGACAGTTTTGTTTAACGACCGTTCAGTGGCGTTGTGTTCGTGCTGCTAGCACATTATTACTTGTAGTTGTCGCCTGGAATCCCTGGGTGGCGCTTGACTACTAGCCCAAAGATTAGTTTAGCGGGAACCCACTCCGAGGTGCCTCCGATGACAGACCTGGCTGTCTGCTTCCTAAAGGTCACAGCTTTGAAAATCCTATGGAGCAGTTCTACTCTGCACACATGGGCTCATCAGAAGTCGGAATCTACTGGCAGCTGATAGTTACTCAAAGATATGGTTGGAGGGTTCTCGTGTGGAGAGTGCTATCTCCCTATCACCCAGGATTTTTACCTCAGGAATTCAGCCTTGCATTTTAGTGCCACACTGTACACAATTCCATACTGTCTGCTTTACGGTCATTTAAAAAGAAACAGCAAAACTGCAAATGCTTTATTATCCCTTGCCTGAAGTGAAATAGCATACGCAGGCTTAATCCCTGTGGGTTTTAGGAGTATCATAGTGACCCCATGTGATGAGTAGAACTGCTCCCTAGGGTTTTCTAGGTTGGTGTGGTGCTGTGGGTTAATGCCCCAGACTGCAAAGTCCATTGAACTACAAGATCGGTGGTTCAAGCTCACCACTCGCTCCTTGGAAACCCTATACAGGGTTGCTGTGGGTCGGAACCGACTCGATGGCACTTAACAACAACAACAACAATCTTTACAGGAGCAGATTGTCGGGTCTTTTCCCCAGAGAACTACTTGGTGGATTCAAATTACTTACCTTTTTTCAGTTAACAGCTGAGTGCTTGATTGTTGTGCCTATAGGTGCTGGGGTTTTTGCACAATGACTGGCACATGTTGTTGCTCTTGTTCAGCGCCTTTGAGTCGGTTCCGACCCATAGAGACCCTGTATAGGGTTTTCAAGGAGCAGCTGGTGAGCTTGAACCACCAACCTTATAGTTCAAAGGACTTTGCAGTTTGACGCATTAGCCCACAGCGCCACACCAGGACTCCGCTGGCTCTTTATATGTTTTGAATCAATGAGTACTTTATGGAGACATTGGTGTTTAAAAGATTAGGTTTGTCCTTGCAATTGTACTGTCTAAGTGCGAGGCAATGAGTGTTCCATATGCTCAAATTGGTAAGAAAATCCAAGTCTCTTTTGGGTTGAAAGGCACCCCCTGACAGCCTGCTGCAATTGTGGACCCAAGATTAAACAATCTTTGCTGCAGTCAGAAAATCTAACTAGGAGGAACGTTAGCTGAAGAACAAAAAACAAATATGGAAGTTTGAGAACTGGCTAGTAGTTTTCTAGATGCCTGAGTCCTAGGATGATTCAGAATATACTCAGTCATATGATGAAGCTGTTGATCGTTTTCCAGGCATTGAGAGGTTTAATGACTTTTCAGAATAAATTGCACAAAATATAATCTCCCTCAAAAGTGCTAAATTAAGCTTTATGATAGCAGGTGAAATTGAGAGTAATTGTTAGGTGCTGTTGAGTTGGTTCTGACTCATAGCAATGCTCTGCACAATGGAAGGAAGCACAGCTTTGTCCTGCACCAGTCTCACTGTTGTTAATGTTTGAGCCCATTGTTGCTGCCACTGTATCAATTGCTCATCCCACTGAGGGTCTTTCATTTTTTCACTGACTTGCTACTAAATATGATGTACTTTTCCAGGGACTAGTCCTTACTGATGACATGTCCAAAGTACACGAGAGTAATTAATATAAAGCTATTACATACGTTTGAAATGACAAAATTTAAGTGAAAAACAAAATTTGAAAAAAGGCCAAGGATGAGTTAGGAGTCAATGGGAACACAGAGTTCTGGGGGAAAAAAACTTAAAAATGACTCAGCAAAACCTAAGAAACATCTGGTAGGGTATAGTTAGTCATGGGAAAATTGGCAGTCATGATTAGGCATTTTGTGCAAAGGATTTTATATTAGTCCAACAGTTTACATCAAACCTAAATTAAATACTTGAAAGGCCGTTCAAGAAAATCTGTTATCCTGCTCATTTAATATACTTCTATTCACTGTATGGGGGAGTGCAGTGGCTCCATAGGATGAGCACTGGACTATGAACTAGGAGGTTGGCAGTTTGAGCCCACCAGCCACTCCATGGGAGAAAAATGAGGCTTTCTGCTACTGAAAAGATTTACAGTCTCAGAAACCCTCTATTGGTTCACAATGAGTGAGAACAGACTTGATGGCACTTAACAACAATAATTAACTGTCTAGAATAGCTTATCTGAAAAACTTCACTAAATAAGTTATTGGATAGCACCAAGATTCTGAAAAAGATACTTTTAAAGTAAAAGCTTTCTCTTCAAACCTTAGATAAGGATGTTTTCAGCACAGTTAACTATCATTATATGCCAGGGCTTAACAAACTATCATTTTTATTCTCTACATACAATAGTGATGAAATCTCACCAACATAAATATAAATTGTAGATATCATTTTAGTAACAAAAAGTCATTCAAAATGCAAATTGTTCACTTATAATCTTATTAGTATAAAAATTTTAAATGGTAACATCTCACGTAAGTATCCCTTAATTCCACATTTCTGTCTCTTCTTATAGTTGAGAAATGCACTACATGTGATGAGTAGAATTCTTACCAGATGCATGATTCCTGCTAGGCTCTGGGTGTACAGGGTAAAACAAAAAGGGCCCCTTTCCTATTAAACACATTATCACTCCTACATTCTGCCCCAGTATTAATGGTTTGAATGATTTTCTGTCAGTATCTTGGATTGGATATAAAGCAATCTTAACAATGCTATATATTAATAAATTTTATGTAATGCTAATTGAAACAAACATAAGATGTAGGTTGGTTATGGTCAGCCCATCAAGCAGGTACTTTTAATTCTGAAAATAATTCAAAGATTTGAAATGCATGAACTTTTATCAGTTTGAATGTATTTGATGAACTTGGAAAGTTTTGCACATGGAGAAAAGAACGCTACGGAGAAAGATAATTCTATAAAAGGGCACCTCTAACAGAAAAGATAGCGAGGTATGGGATTCCTCAGGCGAGGAACAAATAGTACAATAAAATAGCCAATTTAAAAACATACATCTAGGAGTTTTCATGTGTAGTTAGAAATACATACCGATTATACATTGTTAAAAACAGCCTCACATATGCTCCCGGTTTTGGCCCCAAACCTATCCAACCACTTGCCTCCTTTGATTGACGGTACTACATCATCTTACACGATTTATTCTTTCAAGCAGACTTCTCAAGGCAGGAAGTAATTTCTGAAGAAGCGAAGTTATTTCCACACTGGAAGCGTGTCTATAATATTTGACTAGTAGTAAATGTCATTCTAAATTATAACTCTTGAAGTTGCTCTACTGTAGTAACAACACAAAGTCCTGGTGTGGCTCTGTAGGATAAGCATTGGACTGATAACCACAAAGTTGGCAATTCAAACCTACCTTGGAAGCCCTATACAGGGTGGCTATGAGTTAGGACTGACTGGACGACAGTTAACAACAACAACAACAACAACCCTGTAGTAACTCACAGTTATGATCAATGACAAGCAGACAATCAATGAACTATTCTCGGTCATAAGCGAAATAAGAGGACACACACTATAGAAGATGTATATGTGATCGTGACAGCCACTGGCGTTCAGAACTTGGTAGTTATTATTTGTTGTTGTTGTTGTCAGGTGCCATCGAGTCGGAACCGACTCATAGCGACCCCATGCACAGCAGAACGAAACAATGGTCGATCCTGGGCCAACCTCACCACCGCTGCCACCCCCGAGTCCATCAATGATGCCACCTGGCCGATCCATCTCGTTGGGGGTCTTCCTCTTTTTCTCTGACCCTCCACCCTACCCAGCATGACATCCTTCTCCAGTGATTGTTTCCTCCGGACT